TGTGTGTGTGTGTGTGTGTGTGTGTATGTGTGTAGGCACGTGCATGCCATGACGTGTGTAGAGGCCAGAGGACAACTTGCCGATGTTGGTTCTTTTCTTTTGTCTTGTGAGTCTGAGGGGTTGAACCTATGTCCTCAGGTTTGGTAGTAGGTGCTTTATGTCCAGTGAGTCATCTCCCCTGCTTAAGTCTCACTTCTTTATGTTTGTTTGTTTGGCTTTTTTTTTTTTTTGAGACAAGGTTTCTTTCGCCGTGTAACAGCCTTGGTGGTCCTGGAACTCATTCTGTAGACCAGGCTGTCCTGGAACTCACAGAGATCTGCCTGCCTCTGACTCCTGAGTGCTGGGATTAAAGGCCTGCACTACCACCAACAGGTTTAGGTCCCACCTCTTAAAATTTCCTTGTGGGTATTAAATTTCCAGCTTAGTTTCACAGGGGACAAGATATATTCAAATCACAGCAAAAGACCTGTAAGTTAGATCCCCGAATTTCCATGTATCTTTCCACATGGCCAAACATCACCTTCCTAATTTAAAGCAAAAACATTTGATTCACATTCCTTACTATAAGTTGTCATTTTTTCATAAGCCAGGAAATAAGTCCATCTTTGAAATGGGAGGAGAGCAGATGTCTGACACACTCATGGAAAACATCTTTGTGCCTCTTTTAGTTCCCATAACTACAGACATATATCTTTATCTTTATGTGTATAGATGTTTTGACTGCATGCATGTCTCTTGTCCTGTGAATATGGTGCCAGTGGAGGCCAGAGAGGGCATCAGATCCCCTGCAACTGGAGCTACAGATGATTATCAGCCACCCGGTACATCCTCCGGAAGAACAGCCAGGACTCATACCTGCTGGGCATCTTTCTAGCTCTAACTATAGACATCTTATCAGAATGCCTTTGGGTTGAAGTTCTGTCTTGAAAATTTTATGGGCTGATATATCTTCAATATAACTTCCTGTTCTTTTTCTAGCCCTAGGTTTTAGAATTGTCAAACATTGGTGACCCAAGATGCCAATAGTGTTCACGTTTTTTGGAGTGAATATCTGTGAATATTAGCATAGAGATACTGGACCTTTCAGGTGTTCATTGGGATGCACTGGGACTAGGAGAAACCTTGTACATCCTTGTGACCTTACAGCTTCCTTTTCCTAACAGAAATTTGATTTTTTTTTTTTTTTTGGATACTTGTAGGTGGTCTACTAGTTAGATACTAGCATTGAGAAGACAGGTAGGAATGATTCTACCTTCTTAGTTCTCTTCTGAAGGGAGAGAAACAATCTCAGAGGACAAGAAAATTGACCACATTAAAGGCAATGCCAGGCCCTGGCCAGCCCAGTTTATATTGGGCACACAGCACTCAAACAGGAGTGTACAACCTTTAAACATTGCAACATGATGTTGTCGTCTCTGCAGTTCACGTTTTAGAACTGCGCAAGCATAGCAGCAACAGAAATCTCCATGTTTTGGGAAGTTTCGATTCTGTGTTACATCTAGAGCCCTCCTCGGTTGCATATGGCCGTATGTGGCCTGGGAGACACACGTTGGATGCCTGGTCGTGATGGGCATTGAATACTGCAGTGAACAGGATGGATGGGGTCAGGAGCATCCTAGGTAATATTGTGACTTCTCTTAGAACCCTAGTCAGACTGGGCTGGATGACGAGTGCCTGTGATCTCCGTGTGTGGGAGGTGGAGGTGGGGCGCTCAGAAGGTCAACACTAGTCTGAGATGCATGACATTCTGTTGTTAGCAAATAAACCAAAAGAAAACACCAAAACTTGAGTCAGACTTGCCTGGCTTCTAATCCAAAATTGACCTGGCCTTAATTTGTTTCATCATAACAGTCCATAAAGCCCTTTTCTTTTTTCCCACCCGCCTTCCTTTCTTTCTTGGATTGATTTTTTTTTTCTTTTCTTTTTTTTCAAGACAGGGTTTTTCTGTGTAGTTTTGGAGCCTGTCCTGGAACTCGCTCTGTAGACCAGGCTGGCCTCGAACTCATAGAGATCTGCCTGCCTCTGCCTACCAAGTGCTGGGATTAAAGTTGTGTGCCACCACCGTCCGGCATTTGGATTGGTTTTTTTCCTTGTTTATCTATTTGAGACAAAAAATCTTGCTCTCTAGCCTAGGCTGGCATAGAATTCACTCTGGAGCTCAGGTTGGCCTTGAACTTATAACATCTTCCACTTCCACCGCTAGAGTGCTGAAATTACAGGTGTGCCCCACCACACCTGCCTTCTTCAGTTTTCTTTCTTTCTTTTTTTGGTTTTTCAAGACCGGGCTTCTCTGTGTAGCTCTTGCTGTCCTAGAATTCTCCCTATAGACTAGGCTGGTCTGGAACTCACAGAGATCCACTTGCCTCTGCCTCCAAGTGCTGGGAATACAGGCGTGTGCCACCACTGCCTGGTTAGCTTCTTCAGTTTTCATAACAACTTCAAACATAAGTTCCAAAGAGACACTTGGATTTTAGGGGAACATTTAAATAGCTAAGTTTATGTTACATTTGTTAATTTATTATTATTGTTGTTATTATGCACTTCATTCTTTTTTGTGTTTTAAATATATGTTACTGATTTTTTGAGAAATTCTTACATGCATATGGTATATGTGGATCATCACTCTCTACTCTTCCCCATAACTGTTCTCAGATCTGCTCCAACCCTCCAAACTTCCACCTTTGTATTTGTCCTCTTTTTTTTTTTTTTATAACCTGTTTGATTCCAATTTAGTGGCCTTTTAACTAATAGATATGGGACAACCCACTGGAGAGTAGTTAACTTACTAGGAGCTATATTCTTTTTTTTTTTTTTTTACATTTTATTTATTATTTTTTTCA